GTGGAGCCCAGGGCGGGTGAGGGTCCTGTCCCCGAGGCTGGCCGGGGGCCGAGGGACTACGGAGGGAAGGGAGTGGGCGGGGAAGGGCTGTGGGAGAGACAGAGGGTCACGCGGAAAGGGCTGGGGTCGAGCCCGGGCGGGACACCGCGATCACGGGCTCGGAGGGCGGAGGGCTCCCTGCGGCTGGAGCGGTGTCGCTTAGTTCCGCACACTCATCGCCGCTGCTCCCGAGAGATCCGCCCTCCCTATCACCCCTGCTTACAGCGCGGGAAGCTGAGGCTCGCGGCTGCGGCAGGGGCAGGACGACACCAGTTTTACCGACACGCTGGGCACTTGGTCATCGTCTTCCTAGCAGATGCGTTGTGAGGCCTCGGGTGGCCCCGGCGCTGGGGGAGGCTCGGCCCGGGGTCCCCGGGCTGTGCTGATTGGGTGCAGGATTGCCTGGCAGAGATCATGTAGGGCTCCTGGTGCGCCCGGGTCCTGCCATGCCTGCGCGTGCAGCAGGAAACCTGCACAGCGAGCCGCTGCTGGTAACCCAGTGGGATGAGAAAAAAGGCCTTTGGAGACGCTGCCACGTGCCAGGACTGAGCTCAGAGCCAGAGGGAGAAAGAAGAGTGAAACCCAAGCTGACCTGACCCGCAGCTACAGCGCAGGGTCGGGCATGTCACACGTTAATACTATATGTCGCCTCTTATTATTCTGACCATTTCCTCTGTTTTCATAACGTTCCAAGGGCAGGGACGTGCCCTTTTATTCTCTGCCTCCCCTCCCAATTAACCCATTGATTTCTAAATGGGAGTCACTCAGATGTTTGTGATGAATTGACTCTCCAGGGCCGGCCCCAATGTCTGCATTTCTTGTGTTCCACACAGTCCGTATCCTGTTAGGGATATTGTAGGGCTTCTGGGTTGTTAGTGGAAGTGATAATGTAATAGCCTTACGATAGTTGTGTTAAAATTTGGGATTATATTGAGTTTACTCTATCGTTGGACTTCAATGATTTGTCGTGGGTGTCGGACTTATCACTAACCCTGATTTTATGATGGAGCGATCAGAAGGCCTAGATCCTGGTCTGGCCTGTAGAGAGTGGAGGGTGCATGAAGCAGGCATGGGGGAGGCCCTGGGGTGCACGCGCCGTGGAATTCCTTGCAACTGTTTAACCAGACACCCTTGTTATGATAGGTGTTTCCAAACAGGACATTCGGGAGCAGATCTGGGACTACATGGAATCACATAATATAGCTGACTTTCCCCGGCCTGTCCATCATAGGATTCCCAACTTCAAGGTACTGAAGTATCCCCAGAGCATTCAAAAGGGAAACGGGGTGTTCCTAAATGAATAGCATTGGTAATACAGTTACCACCCTGTTTCATGGTGTGAAATGCGAACCACCAGGCGGGGGTGTTTCTGTGTTGCGGGACCTCCCTTCACTCTCGGGCCCCTTGCCTTTCTGTGCAGGGTGGGTTGGTTGGTTGTCTTGTCGACGTGGTGCTCAGTCTACCGTTTACTATTTGATGCAGAATGAAATGTTTATCCTGGCTGAACGCACGTTATTGTGGTGCCTTTTTACAAAATTGGTTCCCCAAGGGTAGAAAGGGTGATGCGCTCTGAGACGTCAGCCCACTGCTGGTACCTTTGGAAGGAGGAAGGCTTCACCAGGCCCTGATGACGCTGGGCCTCAGGCTCCCAGCGTTCAGAATAGAAGACAATCAGAGGTGTCTCTGTGATAGTATTAATAGAAACTAGAGTGCCTGAAAAAGGCAGCATGCACAGCCCTAATGTTTGGCATACATGTTTGCCGAGAGAAAAAGAAAGCGCTTGTTGAAAATACACTGCTCTGTTGGCCCGAAGGACGTGGCCCATGTGCTTCAATGCCATCACCCCCCATTTGGGCTGGACATTCTCTCCCCAGCCCGGCTTCCAAGGAGCAGGCCCCAGCCCTTGCCGGGTCCTTAGCTGAGCTGGTTCCGAGGCCATCCTGTTCTTCTGGAAAACTGTTCTTTTGGATGGTTTTGTCGATACTTTCTTTTGTTTTAGTGCTTGTTTCTCCAGGGAGAGAGGTGTACGTGAAGTGCAGGGAACGGATGAAAGGTGCACAGAATCAGTGATGATCTTTCAGAAGGAAATCAGCCAGGAGAGGGAGGGGGTTGCGGGCCAGTGCTCTAACCTGGATTCATACGCTCTGTCCTGGTTTAGGGGGTGGTTCGCAGGTGTGTTCCTTTTGTGAAAATTCATTAAGCTTACACATGATTTGTACCCTTGGGGGGAGTGTGTTTTATTTCAGTAACAAATTGGGGCTTGGCCAGCTTTCTCAGCCCCTCTCTACCCTGACTGCTGTCTTAGATGTTTCTCTGTGTGACTCTTCAATCCTGTCTCACGCTCGATGAGTGCTTCCGCCTGTCTGGGGGGGATGCTGCAGCAGGTGCTCAGACTGCAGTTGTCCTCTCAGTAACGTGCCGTTGCCTTTAACACAGGGCGCTTCTCGGGCCGCTGAGCACTTCCCACGCTTGCAGGCGTTCAAAATGGCCAGGACCATTAAAGTCAACCCTGATGCTCCCCAGAAAAACGCTCGCTTCTTCGTCCTCGACGTAAGTGCAGCTCTGTCTGCTTGCCTACCCAGGGCTCTTACCTGGCTTGCCAAAGCATCAAAGACCTCGGAGTTTTTGCCAGAACGCAGGAAGTTAAAGTGGACCCCGACAAGCCGCTGGAAGGCGTTCGGCTGCTGGCACTGCAGGTAATCCCACTGCCCTGCACGGAGCCCTGGCCCTGACGGGAAGGCGCTCGCCAGGTGGCTGGTAAATGCGTGCAGTCCTGTACTCAGAGGCTGGCTCTTCTAGTCTCTCCCACGCAGAACGTGCCCTGGAGTTGTTTTTCCAGGAACAGTCCAGAAGTCTTTCACTTGCTCAGCAGTCAGTCAGTCAGGAGTCCTGGATGTTTCCGGAATTCAAAGATAAAAGACATGCAAGATGATGACGTTGACGTATTCTCAGTTCTGATGTGCTTCATCAGAAGGGAAAGATTACAATATGTTTATTCTTTCTGCTACCTTTGTAACATTGCAGTTCTTTGAAATGGGATAACCCATGAGTCAGGAATCTGGTGCGTCCCCAAAATATTATATATATTAAAAATATATTAGAACAGTGTTTAACTATATAGGCCCCCTTTCAAGAAAAAAAAAAATTCTCCAGGGTTGCTTTAAATTATTATAATTCAATAAATGTAAACATAAAACTTGGTATAAATGTTAATGCTCATAGCTCTTATGCAATGATAAAATGAACATAAGCATATAAATTAAGTGCAAACAAAACTTTAAAAGCAGTAACATTCAGATAACCACTAATTTTATGAATGGGTGATGTTTTGCTGAACAAATTGCTGCTGATAATTGTGGTGCTGAGAGCCGCGGGGCAGGGTCTTCGGAATTCTGCCTCACCCTCCCTCACCTCGTGTGGTGACTCGGTTGGTTCTCCTGTGCCTCCGGAGAAGCCTTGGTTCTGAATGGCACCTTCCATCCCACGTGGTGGAAGAAGTACCAGAAAGTAATTTTACCAGAATGGGGAGAGTGTAGGGATCCTGCTCTGGTTCTTTCAACTCTCCAGTGTAGGAAGTGATTCTGACTTCTGTTTGCGGTTCAGCCCCAAGAGGCCTCTGGTGTAGGCTCTTCTGGAAGCATTCTTCCTTGCCAGCCTTGTTTTCTCGGTCAACAAAGCACTTTAATGAACTAGAGGTGGTAATAGCAGCAGCAGTGAAGGACCCACAGGATATATGAAACCCATTTCTATTTAAACATTTTCCTATGTTCGTTTAATCCTGCTGACAATCCAGTAGGAGAGATCTCTCTTCCCATATGACATTGAAGAAACCAGACACAGAGAGGTCACGTGTCTTGACCAAGTCACGCGTCAGGAATGGTAGAGACTGGAGGAACACTGAATCCTCATTGTCACTTTATTTATTCAGGAGAAATAAATAGCCAAGCTGTATTTCAGGCTCTGCCAGGCATAGGGACGTAGTGGTGAAAAGCACACAATGTCACATATAGTCCCTATGCTCTAGGGCTACAAGTTCATCAGTGGTTTCGTGTAGTGGGTTAACAGTCATGTAGGAAGCAGATAAAACTGCAGGTTCCCCAGTCCCACCTGAGTGCAAGCAGGGATGGTGCTGCACACGCCGCAGACCACACCTGGCTTCCCCAGCCCAACCCCAGGCCTTGAATTGGTTTGTGCTTGAGAACCATTGGCCTTGGCTGCGTTTGCCAACACTCACTGCAGGTCAGTACCCTCCCGAGAGCTTTGAAGATGTCTGTCACCGAAGTCAGGTTCTGAGTCAGAGGCCCTGAGTGGCTCTGGAGATGCTATCGTACAACTAGGATTGAGATCTGCTGAGCTATGGTGAGCAGCTTCCAGGAAAGAGGGAGGAACCGGAATCAACCTTCAGTGTAGCAGAGTCATCTGGAGACTGCAAATGCCAGGAACCCAACACGAGTTAGCACTCAAAAGGAGGATGGTATGTGGTCATTGCTTGTAGGAAATACTCTTCTCTGTGGTTGAAAATGTTTATTTAAGTAAGCCAGACTGATTTCAGAGGTCTTTTATTGGTCTCAGGCTGGCTTCTCCTGCACAAAAACTGAGGCATACTATTTTTTACACAAAAGATTTTATAAATGTTATGACTGCCTGTGGCCCTCCTCTGTGTGCCCACAGAGATGCCCGTGGGCAGTGGTTCTCCCGACTGACCAGGTGGGCTGTTAAAGCAGGTTGCTGGGCCGGCTTCCAGTCATTTCTAACAAGTGCCCAGGGGTTTCTGTGGCTGCTGCCCAGGGCACCCACTCCGAGAAGCCCTGTGTCCTCTGGCACTCACAATCTGAGACTAAATACAGTCAAACCTCGTTTCTCCAGCGGCTCCCATGTTGACCAATTTGGTTCACAGAAAAAAATATCTCAGTTGTCAACCAAAACTTCATTTTTCAACCTGACAGCCCATTCATGCTGATACCTCAGCAAGACAAAAAGTGTCTCTTAGACAATAAACAAAGGAGAGAAGGCTTTTGTTGCTGGTGATCAGCACAATTTTAAAACATAAAGAGGCCATCGAGAGTGCTGATGTTGCTAAGGGTGTGAAAGTGCTCACAACACCACAGTCACAGGCAATTGAATAGGTGGAAAAACTGTTGTTGATTGAATCCATGAAAGGCAGTTAGTCCAGGAGAGCCTGTTGGGGGCAGTGATACATGAGAAATTCATTTAAGGTTAGCAGGGGGCGGTTCGATAAATTTAAGGAAGAAAGTATTTACAGATTAAACAGTGCATTAGACATGTACTGTTTAAAAGAAAGGCAAAAACAGGGAATCATTTGAGTCTGCAGTGGATTAATTCAATTTACATTATTTCTAATGGGGAACATGATTTAGTTTTCGAACAAATGGCTTCTCGAACAGCCAAGTTAGAGAGCCGAGGTTCCACTGTAGGAGATGAGGGCTGTTGACACAGATGAATATATAATATTGATTCTATCAAGTGCTGACCTTTTAGATTGTGATTTATTGAACAGCAAATAAATGCTTGATGGCATAACATTGTTAATGTAGCTGTAGCGACTAGTTTAGAATTAAAACGGCAGCTATATAATACTTAATGCTGAGAACAGGGAACATGGGAAAGTTATGGTTGGAAATTTTGTAAGAACAGACCTTTTTTTGGATTTGTGTTGTCATTTTTTACATGTCACAATTTTCATTGGCAAGTGAAATAGAATTAGCCGTTTAACAAATGCCCTGTGAAAGGCTGGGTAAAGTAGTGTCTCTAAATAAAATTAACCCTCACGCTTTTATTTATTTGTTTGCAAACAAGTAATTTCCTTGGCACACACCAAGAAATTGCAGATAATAGTAACTTGTTTCACTCCTGAAATGTTAAAAACATATGCAAGAAAGTTCCTATTTCATTTTGTAATTTATCGATTGTTTTTCTTTTAAAAGAGCAAAAAAACATTGTTGGTTCCAACACCGAGACTGAGAACAGGGTTATTTAATAGGATCACACCACCCCCTGGGGCAACTAAAGACATCCTGAGAAAATGTGCCACCTCCCAGGTAAGTGTTTTCAGCTGCAGCGTCTGCTCAGTTAGGATAGCCTGTCATTCACCACAACGCTGGAAATTTATTTCTAATGAACAGAGATGTTAAAAGTATTCAGCACCTGCCATTAAGGGGCCAGGTAGAAACACTATGAATACCTGGGTTCTGTTTTTGTAACTTGGTTTCTGTTTCGCACCAAGCTGGCAAATTATAAATTCTGTTAAGAAAGAAAAGGAAAAACATAGTACATACCTGGTACTCTGGCGCCCTCTAGTGCTAATCTGTGATGGTTAGTGGTCTATAGATTTTTATCAAAGGCCATGAGAGCAATTGGGGACACAGGATAGAATTTCCAAAATATGTTCAATTGGAATGACTCACCAGTTGAAAATTAATTATTGCTTATATATATATGTATGTATATAAAAAATGCACACACACTCTGAATAGTTATAAAGGCAGTATTTGTTAAAATTCATTTCATTTTTTCAATGTAATAAAATCTACAGACATAGTGTGTATACATTTGGGAGGGAAACCGTATATATGTATATGTGTATACATGGGTATGTATATAAGAGGATATATATGTGTGTGTGTGTGTGTGTGTGTGTGTATGTGTATGTATATCAGTGATTCCCAAAGTGGGCGCTACCGCCCCCCGGTGGGTGCTGCAGCGATCCAGGGGGGCAGTGATGGTCACAGGTGCATTTGGGGGCGATGAGTAACTGCTATTAAAATTTAAAAAAAAATTAATTTCCAGGGGCTGAGTAATATTTTTTCTGGAAAGGGGGCAGTAGGCCAAATAAGTTTGGGAACCACTGATGTATATTTTTGATATTATATGTAAGATTTTCTTGAATGCCTCACCATGTAATAAAACCAAAGTGTGTAACTATTACATTAGTGTGTGTTATAATGGAATTTGTCTTGTAGTTTACAGATAAAGAAATAGAATTTGGTGGTTTTTCAGACTCCTAGAGTAGACCCAGGTACTTTGATTCTTACTTTACTGGAATAAAAAATAGGGCATCAAGATATTCCTTTCTTACAGGGATTTTCCACTTAAGTCTAATGTGTAAAAATTGAATGCTTTATTGATATTTATTGATAACCTGTTGTATTCCAAAAATAGAATTTGATGAGACTTACAATAGTACTTAATAATAAAGTAAAATAATAGAATATGTGTGGGGAAAGGAGCAAAGGGAAGATAAGGATAGAAGAATAAGAGGCAGCAGTGGTTCAGGTTGCTGCTCAAAACTGCAAGCCCTGTGACCCTCTGCCTTTGGCAACCTGGGCTGCAGATTTGAACCCACGTTTCTTGGAGCGACAGGGGATGTGATCCGTGTAGATCAGTGGTTCCCAAACTTATTTGGCCTACCGCCCCCTTTCCAGAAAAAATATTACTCAGTCCCTGGAAATTAATTTTTTTAAATTTTAATAGCAGTTACTCATCACCCCCAAATGCACCTGTGGCCATCACCGCCCCCCTAGATCGCTGCAGCGCCCACTGGGAATCACTGGTGTAGATCATAGGCTCACGACAGTAACAGAGTCTTTTCCTGGGATCGAGGTCCAGGTCGGTGCTGCTATAGTGGTCTGTCACCCGAAACAGCATCCCTCTCCCCTCCGAAAGGGGACCACCACTCTGCTTACTGCCCAGAGTTCCCCGTGAAGTGCCAGCTCTGGCTGGTCCCACACACGCACTCCTGAAAGCCTAACGGCCCATGAGGAGGCCAGACCCGTTCTCATGGCTGAGCTTTAATAAGGACTGAACAGCAGGGTTTGGGCGTTTTTATAGCGTGAGATACTGGATCCAAATCAGAGATCCAGAGTCATGAGCTGCAAAAAGATTTTCATGTACTTTATGGCATAGGGAAAGTGGTGAAGTGGGGAGACACTTAGGCCACGTCTGCACGCAGATGCAGATTTTAGTGCGATCTTTATTTTGTTTGCCAAAGCTCAATGGCAGGAATACTGCCACAGTGCACATCTACTCTAGGAGACTCCGAGGGCGCCTTGTTTCTTGGAAGATGAGTCTCTGAGTTTGTCCTCACCACCTCAGCCCCCGGCCACCGTCACGCCCCAGCCATCTGTGTCTGTCGTCCTTGTCGTTGTATTTGCTCAGACACAGGAGTGTTCTGGTAACCACCCCACGGGCAGGCAGAAAAGTGTGTTACTCACATGATAAGTCCGTCTACTCCTGTCTGGCGAGGCTTAGCAGGTGAGGCTGGCTGAGTGAGGGAAGAGGAATTGTAACAGACAGAGTTACAACCCAGGAACTCCACACAGCTGTCTGCTCACTACGGCTGCCCGACACTGAGCCCATTAACACTGAGTTGGGGACAAGGGCTGTGGACATGAGATACCTGTCTCCATAGCCACTGTGAGAGTGAGGAAACAGGCTTTCCCGCGGTGGGAACACCTAGGCTGTTGACTGGTTTGACTGTTGGAAGTCCCCCAAACTTATCTCATGTACTGATTCTGTGTGTGGCTTGTCCTATAGTTGTAGACAGGGGACAGGGGCCAATACCACACCCAGTGATTCGCTTCTGCCAGGTACTGCTCCGAACATCGTTCCAATCTGGTTTCCTAGATTAACTGTAGCCCTTGTTATCAGAATCACGGCCTGTCAGCTTCCCTATTTGTTAAATACAGGCCTCCACTAGTTAGTACGCATGGGAGTACTTTCAGTGCATTTTGGTTGAATAAGTAATATTTCAGAAGTGAGTATGCTATACACGAAGGTCATGGCCTCCAGCCTTTCATGCTGCATTAATGTGGTCACGTCTTATGTGCCAAATGCTGTACCTCCGTGTTAGCATTTCATCGTAACACCAGCCCGACAAGCCTGGGTGGTGTCCCCTTCTTAAAGATGAGGAAACTGAAGCCCAGAGAGCTTCCTCCTGCTGAGGTCACAGGGCAGAGGGGTCTGGACCAAGTTCTGAGGGACTCCTGTGCCTGCCTGTGTTCTGATCACGGGGTGGGGAAATGATTTGCTAAAAATCATGAAGTTAATATCCTCTCCATTTGTGCTGTCTGTCCCTCTTGGCATCTTTCCTGGGAAGACATTGTGGTAAATTATCCTAAATTGGTTTTCCTGAAATTCCATTTCTGCCATGCTGTAGGGCTGCGCATGCATCTGCTTCTCGAAGGAGGTTGATTCCGACTCACACTCGCCTGTGAGCTGTGAGGTGGGGCAGCCGCTCGCTGCCGGGGAAGCTCAGGTCCGTGTCTCTGTCTGCAGGGCGTGAGGGACTACAGTGTTCCTGTGGGCTTGGACGCCAGGGTCCTCGTGGACTTAGTGGTGGTGGGCTCCGTGGCCGTTTCCGAAAAAGGTAAGATTACAAACAGGAACTCCAGTGCGACTACTTGGCCTGCAGCTTGCTTTCCACTGGCTCTGCTCGGCTTCTGGGCGCCGACGGTAAGGAATTTCAGCCTCTGGTCGCATGCCTGGCTTCCAAAACCAGTGCATCCATCGTTCATTTTGAAGAGTTAACTCCGTCCCTCCCACTCAACACTTTTACAGTATTTCCACTCTTCTCAACAGGAAAAATAAAGTGAGATAATCCCTTCAGATGGTGAAAGGTTTCCCTCTGTTCTTAAGTTAACTGGCACCGGAGCTGAGTTTATTTGCAGTGTGTCAGTAAATAGCTGGTCTTGGAGAGCCTCCAGTGAGTGGGAAACCTTAACTGCTGCACCTTGTGTTTGTTATGGAGCAGCAGCGCCCTGGACAAGACGTGCCCCGCGCCTGCTGCGAGGCCTGGTGCTTCGCAGTGCGGGCAGGTGAGCAGCGCTGCCTGGCACCCTCAGGCGTGGGCCCCTGTGCTTCCGAGGGACCTCTTCCCCCTGCACTACTCTGCCCCAGCCCAGCCTGATGCTCTTTGAAAACAATCTGCTGGTTCTTGGGTGGAGTCAGTGGTTCCTAGTGTGATTTGGGTCCCACTAGAAAAGTGTTCTCTCTCCTCTCATCCCCAAAACTCTTTGTGTTGTTTTTGTTTGTTTGTTTGTTTGTTTTTATTTAAATACGTCTTTATTGATTTCAGAGAGGAAGGGAGAGGGAAAGAGAGATAGAAACACCAATGACGAGAGAAAATCCTTGATTGGTTGCCTCCTGCACACCCCACAACCTGGGCATATGACCGGGAATCAAACTGTGACCTCCTGGTTCATAGGTCGACGCTCAAACACTGAGCCATGCCAGCTGGGCACCCAAAGCTCTCTCTCTGAAATTAATTGGCCACGGTCAAGTTCTGTCTTCAGGAGAGGTTTGCAGTAAATAGTTGGTGAGAGATGCTCCAAGTCAACCATTGAGCTTGGTGTTTTTAAATGCTGGTCTGCAATATCTTCACCTTCAGTTTACTTACTGTCTTTTCCCAGCTCTCTGAGCTGATATGTGAGATGTTTTGCTTTTCCTATGCACAGTTACAGATACTTTATCCTGTGCACATGAGCACACCTTTCCTGCGTGCCTACCAGGGGCCAGGAGCCAGGCCGGCAGGGTGTTCTCTGCCCGGGGCCCGCAGTGAGTGGGAGGAGCAGACAGCAGCCGAATTTCAGGACCATGTGCTTGGCATCAGGTGGGAGTTAGAACGGGCAGCAGCGGGGTCAGAGGAGGGACCTGTGAGCCTCGGGCAGGGCATCACCTCAGAAGTGACACCAGGGCTAGCCCTTGCATGCCAGTTGTTTCCGAGGCAGGTGGAACGAGAGGAGAGGTGGCAGGTTTTCAGAGCAGGGCCCTTTGCGGTTGGGGCCGGCTTTCCTGAGGCCTTGAGGCCAGTGACAGGATTTGGACTGTACTGATCTGGCAATGGAAAATGAGCAAACATTTCTTCTTTCAAAGATTATCGGGGGTTTTCTTTTTTAGCTTGGGATGTATGAAGAAGCATATGTTTTGTAAATCTCACCATCCAGATAACCACCTGCTTAAAGCAACAAAACCACCTGCATGTGTTTGGGAAATTTGAACAGCACAGAAAGCGTCACCCCCACAGCTCCTTCCTTTTCCCAAACCCCGCTGCCGGCAGTTCCTGTGTCAGTGCAGACACCCGCACTGCCTGAGACACAGGTGTCGCGTGTGCTCTGCGTGGGTTGTGTGTTCATCTTGTGTCTGTGTCACAGGGCGGCGGCAGCACTCGCAGCGCTTGGTGCCATGTGGGTGATGTGTCTCCAAGGCCTTGGCCGGCAGCACAGCCCGGCTGACCTGTTGATCGCCCTGGCTGACGGACATTTCGTTTTCTTCAGGGTTTGGCTTTGTTTCTTCCCTTATGGATGGCGCTAGAGTGAGCTGTCATCTTGTCATATGGCCTACGTGGGCCTGTAGGGACTGTCCATGGGAGAGGAATTGCCAAACAGGATTTTTTTTTAATATATTTTATTGATTTTTCACAGGGAGGAGGGGAGAGGGATAGAGAGTCAGAAACATCAATGAGAGAGAAACATCGATCAGCTGCCTCCTGCACACTCCCCACTGGGGATGTGCCCGCAACCAAGGTACATGCCCTTGACTGAAATCGAACCTGGGACCTTTCAGTCCGCAGGCTGACGCTCTATCCACTGAGCCAACCCGGTCAGGGCTTCATGTGCCTCTTAATTTGCATCAATTACGAGTGAAATTGAACATTCTCATATGTGTGCTATTCATCTGCCCATCTCTTTCTGTGGACGGTTCATATCCTTTGCTATTTTTCTATTGAATTGTCTTTCTCTTATTTCTTTGCCTGCACTGTTGGAAGCTTTTAATTGTAAAAGTAGCATGATCAGATCTGAATCTCAGATGCACGAGCAATGATGCTTACACTCTCGGTGGTGAGGCTGATGTGAAGTAGAAGTCAGAATTTCTGCACTGTCATGGGCTGCTACCCAGAGGAATGTGTTGGCTCAATTTGGGAGCCAGAGGCCTGTTACTGCTTACTGTCCTGCTGCATTCTTTCCTCCTGTAGCCTCAGATAATAATCCCTTTGTTACGCTGCCATTTACGAATTAGCAGAAATAGCACTAGTACTGCTTACACCACCCTTCCTCAGGAGCTATAGGGGTGATAGGGTAGCTATGCCATTTTAAATCGCATATCCTTGATTTTAGAGCTTTTATTTTCCTTTCAAGGGAAGGAGACGAAAAAGATTTTGCCTTTAGTAGGAAGTTATTCTTAGTCCTTTTAAAAACAACTCTTTCGCCCTAACCGGTTTGGCTCAGTGGATAGAGCATCGGCCTGCGGACTGAAGGGTCCCAGGTTCGATTCCGGCCAAGAGCATGTACCTTGGTTGTGGGCACATCCCCAGTAGGAGGTGTGCAGGAGGCAGCTGATCGATGTTTCTCTCCCATCGATGTTTCTAACTCTATCTCTCTCCCTTCCTCTCTGTAAAAAATCAATAAAATATAAAGGTTTGACGTTCACTTCATTGTGTGTTAGCCACTGTACATATTCAGTATTGTTACTCCTCTTTGATTCCTCTTTAAGTTCATTCTCAATGGGCCGCCTACAGAGTTACTATGGAAGGCCAGGAATATGGGGTCCACGTTTCTCCCTTCATTGTGACGTAATGAAAAGTTTACTCCTGAGTGATTCCCCGGACCCTACTCAGATGTTGATTCTCTGCGTTGTCTCTTAGGCTGGAGAATTGGGAAGGGAGAAGGTTATGCTGACCTTGAATATGCCATGATGGCGTCGATGGGAGCAGTCAGCCAGGGGACGCCAGTGGTCACCATCGTCCACGACTGCCAGGTGCTTCCTGTGGCCGACAGAGCCACGCAGTGCTCCTCCGAGAGAGTGAGGGGGATGCGGGGAGGGAGGGGAAGGTGGGGAGAGGCAGGCAGAGGCAGACCAGTCTCTGCCTTCACTCCGTGCTGTGTCATGAGTGGCATGGCTCAGCCGGGGCCGCATCCCAGTGGATCTGGGAGATGGAGCCTCCACTGCACAGTGCCGTTGCAGTGTGTTCCCGTCAGCTCCTTGACCCACTTCTGTTTGCCCAGGTCGTTGACATACCTGAAGCGCTCCTTGAGGATCACGACCTCACCGTGGACTATATTCTCACTCCAACCAGAGTCATCGCCACGGGGTGTGAGCGCCCAAAGCCAACAGGAATCACGTGGTCTAAGGTGGGTCAGTGCATGGCAGCGAGGGCAGCCACAGTCTCCCGTGGCCTGCGCTGGCCCCAGCTTGGAGGCCTCTCTCTTTCCCTGGGTCCTCCCTCTGGCGTGGCAGCTGTCCCCAGGCCTGCAGTGGCATACGTTAGAGTTACGGTGAGCTTTTCAACAATTCAGCTCCTGATCACGGTCTCCAGGCATGAACCTAAGAATTACTTTGCAAACCCATGGGATTCTGATTAGCAGCAGGTTCAAGGTCTCCTTCCACAAGACATCTAGCTACAGGCAGCAGGAATGAGCCGATCCACCAGCTGGGCTAGCGACTAGGATTCGTTTGCCAACTGGTTTATAGCATTATACTCAGAGGTACTGTAATTAGAAAGCTAGTGGGCGCTTCAAGGAGTGGGTGGTATCTGGGGAAGACAGCCCAGGTCCTGGCTTATCTTCCTCTGAGCATGCTTCCTCTAGAACCTTTCCACCTGGGCATTTGGAGGGACCTCAGAGCATTGTCATCAGTGATAAGCTCTAGCCTCACCCAGAGGAGTTGTATTCCCATTAGAAATACTCGTGGCGTTTCTGTTCATCTTTGCCAGCAGCGGCTCAGACCTGCCCTGGCATTTTAGAACGAGGGGGATTTTAAAGATCACCCATCCTCGTCTCCTTATCTCTGGGTCAGGAAAGCGAGGGCAGAAAGAAAGCAGCATATCCAAAACCGTATAGCCAGTGAGTGGCCGAGTACGATTGGAACCCAGCTCTTCTTTTGGGTTGGCAGCAGATGCCTGCAGTGTCAGATTCCTGATTTATATTGGACTTAACATGTGTTTGTAGGGACAGGTTTTTAATGTCATCATTATAAGTGACTGATATCTGTGTGTTCCAGTGAAGCGTGCTTGCAGCATATAAAAGAAAACCAAATTTGCTTTTTACTATTTTTTTAGTTACACAAGGGTGGAAATATTTTTTTATGTTTGATTAACAAGCAACATCTTTCATTGCACATGGCAAGTTAACAAAATGTAACAAATGTTCCTAATTGCCAGCCAGGAAAAACAGTAGCACTGCCGTGGGCCTGTCCCGAGTGTGACGTGCAGCCGTAGGTTGGCTCACAGAGGCCTTCTGTGCGCCATGGGGAGCAGTCGCCCGAGCCGTCCGCATAGAGCACAGAACGGCAGGCAGCTGGCAGGAGCCACCTTGCGGGCCGGGGGGGAGGGGGGCTTTTCTGTTTAGAATTTGTGGGGGAGTGTGGAAGACTACACTGACGTTAGCTTGTCATTCCTTTTACCCAATAAACATCTTGCTCTTGAAGCAAGCAATTTTACGTAAAAGCACGCATTTGTGCATTCCAGTTTCTATAGGCCCTTTGCACGTGCCTGTGCGAGGGTGCTGTAGACTTCCCGCTAGTATGTGCTGTGAGTTAAAGCATTTCATTATTCTCCAGCTGGTTGCAGGTGGTACGGTGCTGGCCCTGGGGTGTGTGCAGCAGGATGTGTTTTTGCTTCACGTTACATGTTCTACAATGAATTTCTGCCGCCCGAGTGTAGAGCCTTGCCCCGAGAACACTTACTTCTGCCTGAGGGAGCTCTGTGGTTCCACCGGGCAAAACGCACAGAAGTTACAGCACGCGAGGGGTGGTCACCCTCACCCGGCCCAGATGGCAGGGGCTGCTGAGGCCTGTGGTTCCTGCTGCTGCTTGCAGTGGACTAACATTTAGCGCTTCCTTATATCCGTATAGGCAGACTTTTCCTCTGATTGTAATTGCAGTTGTTGGTCATCCTTTCTAAACACCAGATCTAGTAACTTAAGAATCTAATTATGACTAGTTTAAGTCAGCTTTTAAATATTCGGAAAGAACACAAGAATCGGAACTCCTTAGGAAGGTAGAGCAGGGACATGGGAAGGAGTCGGGTTGGCTGGACTTAGATAATCTTTGGGATTTTGGGGGGAACCAGAACCTCTAGGTCTGTGAGTTTAATCACCTTTTGATGAATCAGTTCAAAAGAATTTTGGAGGGACAGTGGGCAAAAAGTTCCTGTCGATTAGAAACGAGTAGTCACATCTTGTGGAGATCCCATGGCACAGACATGATTTTTTTCCTTTGTGTCTGAACAATGGGCAACATTAGAAGGAGCAAGCCTGTCTGCACCATCTTTCCATGGCAGCTGAGTCTGTGTGCCGTTCTGAAGACCCGAAAGGACTAGTGCTGCTCGCAGAGGCTTCTCTAAGTGACTGATAGCGCGTGCTTCAGTGGAGCGTGATATTAGCATATAAAAGAAAATCAAGCCCTAGCCTAGCCGGTTTGGCTTAGTGGATAAAGCATCGGCCTTCGGACTGAAGGGTCCCAGGTTCGATTCCGGTGGGGGGCACATGCCCAGGTTGCAGGCTGAATCCCCACTGGGGGGCGTGCAGGAGGCAGCCAATCGATGATTCTCATCATTGATGTTTCTATCTCTCCCTTCCTTTCTGAAATCAATGCAAAAAATATTTAAAAAAAGAAAAATGAAAAACCAACACATTTTTTTAAAAAAAGAAAATCAAATTCGCTTTGCCAGGGAGCAAGGCTGGTGTCCCCTCGGAGAGGCCTCTGACCCACAGAAGGCTTTGCCGAGGTGGGAGTGTTACTTAGACCAGGTACTAAATGAAGTCTGCAAGAAGGCGCTAGGCTATTCTTAGGTGCTTGTGTTTCTGTAAATCTTACTCTAATTCACTGATTTTTAACCTGAGGCCTGTACACTTCTTGTGGTTTGGAAGTCCATAAACAGACATTGTGGACTTGTACACAGAATTGTGGGAGAGTTCCAGGGAGGGAACCCCAACTTCTCTCAAAGGTTTCTGCCTAGGATAAGAACCACCGCTCTAAGTTACATATGATTCTGAATATAACGAGAACACTGATGCTAGTCAAACTATTTTTGTCCTGGGATAGCTCAGTTGGTTAGAGTGTCATTCCGACAGGCCAAGGGAGCAGGTTTGATCCCTGGTCAGGGCATATATAAGAATCAACAATGAATGCATGGATAAGTGGAACAACAAATCAATTCTCTCTCTCTCTCTCTCTCTCTCTCTCTCCCCCCCCCCCCCCCTCTTCTCTCTCTCTAAAATCAATACATACAATTTTTTAAAAAAACTATTTATTTTTGTAGAAAAATTACACCTATCTCCTCATGGGCTGATCTGTACTCTGACATGCCCACATCTGGGGGAAGCCGGTGCCTGGGCACTGCTTGCCTCTTTGTAACTAATCACTTACAAGCTTCATGCCCAAAAGAAGGACAGAAAGTATCACTAAAGAATGAGGGTTGCTCCGGCTGGTGTGCTCAGTGGATAGAGCATCAGCCCGAGCACGGAAGGGTCTCGGGTTCGATTCCTGGTCAAGGCACATACATACCTGGGTTTCAGTTTGATCCCTGGCCTGGGTCCGGGAGTGTACAGGAGGCAACCACTCACTGTGTTTCTCTCCCTCTCTCTCTCCCCCCTCCCTCCCTCCCTTCCACTCTCTAAAAATCAATGGAAAAGAGATATCCTCAGGTGAGGGTTAACAACAACAACAAAAGAATGAGGATTGTGAAAAGGACTAAAGAGTGTTTTTCTGTTCCTCTTCTGCCTCCTCTGATAATATGAGACCAATTCTGCCCCGGCTCAGTGGTCCAGGCTCAGCCCGACCCGCGGGCAGCCCTCGTGTCCCTGCCCCAGCAGGACAGAGCCAGCGGTCTCCACACTGCAGGCCCACAGAGGCAGTTCCAGCCTGTTCAGGCGGCTCCACTTTGAGCCTCATTTACTGGGACACCTGTCTTTCCTTTGCTGTAGGTTTCAGGAATTATCTGTTGATTGATTAGGCCAAAAAGCCAAAGATGTCCTTTGTATAGAAGTCCTGTCCATTGAGGCTTCACTGTGTGTGTGTGTGTGTGTGTGTGTGTGTGTGTAGTATTTGTTATTTTAGACTCATTGCTGAAACTGGTCTATTTCAGATTTGCCTTGTTTCCACGTAGTCAGTGATACATTTCTCTGAGAAATGCTCCTTCAGTGGAGGGTGGGGAGCAGGAGGAGGGGATCCCTGTGGCCTATTACTGTTATTTTAGACTCATTGCTGAAACTGGTCTATTTCAGATTTGCCTTGTTTCCACGTAGTCAGTGATACATTTCTCTGAGAAATGCTCCTTCAGTGGAGGGTGGGGAGCAGGAGGAGGGGATCCCTGTGGCCTATTACAGACCTCATCCTGCCCAGTGGCTTAGTCAGGGGGAAGGGACAGGTATGGAGGCAAAAAAACCATTATCCTGGGGAGCCAGCAGGGGAAATGCCATTTGTGACCCTGTGACCCTCATACTAGTGGCCTCAGCTGCCCCCCCTGTGCGGAGGCCTTCGGTTCTCTGCTTCCTGGCCTCTGGGAGAACAGAGAAAGCTGCCCGTTCTTGCCAGCTGCTGTGGCATGCCCTCAGCCAGGGGCTCAGAGCTGCTGAGTAAGGGAGTGGGGACCCACATCACAGGGCTCGTGGCTTACTGTGCAGATAGAGACGCTGCCGAGAGCACGTGTGGCAGAGGCCCCTGTGGGATTCTCATCTCCTCCCTCCTGACCAAGTCTGGTCCCTTTTGGACACCCTGAGTAGCTGGAACTGCTTTACTTTTTCAGATCAGCTGTGCGATGATGGGAAGAATCCCAATACTCAGAAGCCTTCGCTCCCGAGAGAAGCAGGCCGGGAGAGACGTCACGCTTAAGGATGAGCACCCACACCTAGAAGCCCACAGCCAGCACGCAGCTCCGCCAGGCGCTGTAAGGAGACCCGGGGACCCAGCCCAGCCGGAGGCAGGCTTCCCGCAGGGAGAGGATGTGCCTTCCGACACTGTTTACGTGGGGAACCTCCCCCGGGACACGCGAGTGAGTGAGCTGAAGAGAGCCCTCCGAGAGCGGGGCGCAGCCCCACTGCGGCTCACCTGGCAGGGCCCACAGCACAGGGCCTTCCTCCATTTCCAGGACCCAGCCTCGGCCCAGCAGGCCCTCTCCTGCTTACAGGGCTTACACCTGGGTGCCAACACCCTGAAGGTGGCGCTGGCCCGGCAGCAGAGGGCCAGTGACCCGGCAGGTGGCCATGCTAGAGAGCCGCACCCAGACCATTGACCGTCGGTGACAACCTGACCTCCAGAGGCCCGCATGGTAGGATGCGGCCCAACTATTTCTACACGAGCTGCTTTGACCAGGTTCGTTCTTTCTAGGAAGTCACAGCCGCAGGCCCTGCCTCCTGTTGATCTGACGAGGAGGGAAGTTGACCAGTACACTTCCTACACTCAGGAGGCTGAGCGCCCCATGGATTCAGTTCTGTTTATCATGGTCCTCAGCCCACTGGATGGTATAACCGTGCTGGTTCTCTGGAGAGACCGCAGTTGGGGGGTTTAGGGGACCAATGAGCAATAAGCGAGTGGGAGTAAGTGGTGACAGTGGATTAGAAGAGTCTGAGGCCCCGGCAGGGACCAGACGCAGGAGCACCGTGGGGCAAACCAGGACGCGCTCGTGCCCCAGGACCCTGCCCGGCACTGCTGGAGGGAAAGATGCATTCAAATCGCAGAAGCCAGGTACCTCCGCCTCCTGGGTACAAGCCGCTTTTCTCAACTCAGTCCTGGTGTCGGAAATGGAGAGCTGGTGCGACATGGACCCTTGGTGGAGCGGTCTCCCCTCTGTCCTCGCCTTACCTTTCCAGCCCTTCTCCTTTCCCTGGGCTTCGCTCTGCCCTCGGCCAGCGGCCCTGCACAGAGCAGGAAGCGCTGACTCGTAGGAGACAGTGGTTTTAGAAACTGAGTCATGCAGGTCTGTATCACAGGCAGAGTCCGCAAGTGCTCTCGCACTCCCATTTACCTAATGCCTATGTTCTCCGAGTTCCTCTAGTTCCTTGTTCCTAAAAAACAAGCTGGATTTTGGCTGAACTATGCTTTCTAAACAGAAGCACTTTTGCAATTGATCCTGGGCACAACGTCAAAATAAGCATTTAAGTGTAGGTTTTATTTTTTCAAATGTACACTCATTGGAAATTTTATTTTTTCACCAGGGGGCCTTACTGTGTATTTTAAGTACATTATTATGCCTCAAGAGGCCAGGCCTTGCACGAACTTTCAAGAAAATATTCTTAAGGTACTCAGTCTCCCTTGGAAAAAACATTTCCTTTTTGGTTTTACAATGAAAATACTGTGGAGACTTCGGAAAGAAAATCTATCCAAATAGACAGATATTTCTCTAAGAAAATCTATCCAAATAGGTATTTCTCTAAGAAAATCTATCCAAATAGGTATTTTTCTAGCAAAATGGGACTATGCAGGAACAACAAAGAATTGTAATTCAGGACATAGGATCTAGAGGCAAACCGTGTGAAAGTCTTGAGAAATAAAGGAGAGGAATGCTCTTTTATGGACTTGGGAGGAGCTGTTGTAAAGGAAGAGCCCATTGGAGGAAACTGAAAGATGGAAGTGTAGTGACTTTTCATTGGCTGAGCTGTTACTGGGCCAGAAGGAATCCTTCTTCCTCCTGCTGAGGCAGCAAGTAGAACCATGCCATGGGAGATGTGGGGTGGGTCCCTCCTGTTGGGGTCAGTAGTGTGCATAGAGTGGCACATTTGAAAGAACTCTCTTCCAGCTCTGGACTCCACTTTCAACGAGGTTTCACCATCCTCAGATTTGTTCATTAAATGCAGGCTCCTTTTCCAAGCTGTCATGAATAAAATGAGAGTAGACAAATATCTTAAAATGGACCAGGACCTTCCCTGCCTTGGGACCTCTGGGCTTCCTCTCTCTTGGCCTGAACTGTCCACCCTCGTCTGCAGGGCTGGTTTTGTTTTGTCACTAGGCGTTCAGCAGGGATGTCAGAGGTTGACTCTGGCCACCCAACCCAGAGTAGCGAGCTGATCATCCTAACTCCTCACTGTTTCCTTTTGTTTAGTTTTTCTTTTTTCCCAGAATACCTCTTGTATTTGTCATGTTCTTGTTTGGATTTGTTGACGTTTTCACTGTTGACTAGCACTCCAGAACAGGAAATGTGTCACTGCCCATCTTTTTCACTCCTGCTGTACCCTGGCTGTGAACAAGTCCTGGCAAATACATAGCAGTTCGGGAAACTAACATGTGGATGGATTCACCCAAGACAGAGAGGGAAAGGAGAGCATGATGATACCGCCCGAAGCCCTGTGTCCAGTTGTGCATACGCCAGCCTGCCGTGGACGGTGTTACACTCATCAATAGTGGTCCCTCTTGGGTAAGCCAGGTCGCTTGGGTATTCTGTCACTCACAGCCAGAATAATCCAGATGAATGATATACAGATCTGAATGAGTTTCATCGTGTTTATATTTGTGGGAAGTAGTATAAGGAAAACTAAAGACCACCTGCCTGAAATAGAAGTCCCCCAAACGTAGCAGCGTGGACCCACCTTTTACCCCCCGTCCTGCCTCGGGCAGGCCTGGACAGTCTTCCTCAGAGCCGCCAGGAAGAGCACTCAGATTGCAGGACAAGCGCTGAGGGACCCAGCTTTTTGTTCCCAAGACTCGAGTACTTGTCGGAATCATAATTATATAATTTACATGACGATAATGAGGTTGAAGAATGGAAAATGACCACTTGACAACCTGCTGAGAAATATAGACATAAGGGTTGCTGTCTTGATTTGTGGGTCCCGTCCTGTATTTTCCTAAATGGTGGTGAGCTCTGCCACTGGATTTGCCTCGTGCCAAATCTGCAGCTGCACAGTTTCCAGAAACTCACAGTGAGTGCTGGCCCCTGCCTGGGAGCCCAGAAGCGCAGGTTCCACTGTGGTCTCTGCTCGGTTCCTGTGCTGCGCGCTAGTCACGTGGCTTATGCGTGTTTCCGCAGCTTCATCTTTAGGACAAACCCTTTGGTGTCTGTAACACCTGACCAGTTCTCACAGTCTGTGTTTCTTTAGAGCTTCACTGGTCTCCATCACTTAGATTTTTTTTCTGTTTATAAAAGTAAACATAGCCATTGTGGGAATTTTGGAATATCAGAAGTGTAAAGCGGTATCACCCATCACCCCACCATTTAAGCAGCCTTGATTGATACCACCTTTTATTTATTTTCAGTCTTTCTTCTTTGCAGTTTTAAAACAGGATTAGCAGTGTGAGCTTCAGAAACCAACATTTGGTGGAGGCATTAGTTTTGCCAGTGTTAGGTATGCTGTGCCACGGCAGTCACTTAGCTCCGCACTCTATTTGCTCATCTACAGATGGTCATAGATCTGTGAAGGCTAGATAAGATCATGCCTCAAAAATGTACGGTCTGCACGTAGCAAGTGCTCATGATTGTGTACTTTGCAGGGGGGCATATGGTTCAGCCACCCAGAGACCCCCTCGATCACCTCTCAGACTGGGAAGAGCAGCTCCAATGGGGCAGAACTCAGGACTAACCTGAGGTCCTGTCTCATGTCCTTGCATTGAGAGCAAGAGTCTGAGGTGGCAGCAGCAGGCCCGGGCCTGAGGGGTATCAGTGATGGTAGTGATGGCCATTTCCCAGGTGACAAAAGTTGTCGCGGATGCTGAGACCTGGTGGACGTGGGCGGGGGTGACCACAGCACTGAGCTTGCTGGAGGGCATGTTTATGAAGACGGGAAGCAGCCATTTCTGCTCCAGAGGGGCTCCTGGCTATGGAGTTTACTCCAGACAGAAGAAGGCACGCACCACCTATGTTCCCCTGCCTGGTAAGCCATGGCCGGCTCCTCCCAGCCCTCAGATGGCTGGGCCATTGAACTGGAACAGTCCCTTCTGTTGAGATCTGAGAGAAAGTGTGACGGCTCACAGGCGGAAAAGCAGCACCTACGGAGAACCCACTGGCCAGTTTCTAGGAAATACACAGTCTGAATACAGTTGAATAAAGAGAAAACAGATCAACATGGGGCCTTTCAGAGACTCTCAAAGTGAAAGGGTCTGACACATGAGATGTGAAGGAAGAGCATTTATGAAAAAGATTGACTCCAGGCAACAAGTGGATTTCAGGCAACACCTGCTCTGTACTGAAAAGTCTGAGAAAACAGTTTCCACTTTTCTATGAAAAAATCGTGTCAGTGTTTTACCTTCTCTGCACTGATCTCGAAGTACACAGGAAATCCTGAGCCTGATATCAAAGACCCTGTGGGCTAGATCACGTTCAGAAGAGAGCTTGTTGAAAGTAGGCAGAAAGGGAAAGCGTTGAGCAGGACAGGTAAAGATGTTTTTTAAAAATAAAAATGTGTGATTCTACATTTATATTAGACGTGGTGTGGAGGAGAGAAGACAGTCAGCAAGTAGGTGAGAAAACTGGAGAAGAGACCGTGGAAAAGCTGCAGCTGACACAGGGAGGGCAAGACCCACCCACATTCAAAACATGGAGAGACCTGGCCGGTTTGGCTCAGTGGGTAGAGTGTTGGCCCGAGAACTGAAGGGTCCGGGTTCGATTTTGATCAAAGGCACGTGCCTTGGTTGCAGGGTCGATCCCTAGCCCTGGTCAGGGTGTGTGTAGGAGGCAACCAATTGGTGTGTTGCTCTCTCTGTCTCTCCCCCTCCCTTCCACTCTCTCAAAATCAATGGAAAAAATATCCTTGGGTGAGGATTCACAAAAAACATGGGGGGAGGGTGGCTCCCCTCAGCTGCAGAAGGCAGTGTCAGTGCACAGACCTCCACAACCGACGTGTGTGTGTAAATATCCCGTGACAGGATTCCTGCTTGGAGAGAGGAGGATGCCAGCACTGCTCCCTGGGCCCTTGTCTACAGATCTGAACAGACAATAAGGAACCTCCAGTCATTGAGGAAAACCAGCATCTTGAAACAGTATCTCTCCATTGTGGAAATGGCAATACAGGAATCAGAAGGTAATTAGAAGGCCATCATAGCCATTACAAAGAGAATAAACTGGTAAGGAAAAAAAGCAATTCTTAGGAGTTAAAAACACCATAAAATAAAAAGTAGTCACACTGCAGGCAGAATAGACGCAAATACACTTAGTTGAGAGATGAGCCACATGATTCTTCCTGGAACTAGCACAAAGACGATAGAGGTGAAAAGAATGAAATGTTGGAGAAAGTAGACAAAACTTACTTCAGCTAAAGAGGATTTTATTTCATGTCGAACAGTCCTCAAAATCCAAAACGGGAAGCATATAGATCAGCAACCTTCCCATATAGTATTAGTAACTTACCGAAAATTTTGTTTTTTATGCAGTAGCAACCAAAACTAATAACTTGGGGGTACACCTAAAGAACAGTCCAGGGGTCACATGGCTAAAATTATAAAGTTTTTCTGAAAAAGATGAAAGACCTGAATAAAGAGGCATGCTGTGCTCTAGATGAAAAGTTTCAGTATTATAAAGTTATTATTTCTCCATGTATTAAGATATTCTATACGTGACCTTGCAAAATCCCAACGGATGTTTTCATGGGGCTTGATAAAGCGGATGTCAAAACCTACTCTAAAGCGTCAGTGCTTAAAGCAGCATGGTACTGGCGAATCGGAGCACCAGTGGAACAGTTTCTGAGCGGGTGGGATTCTAGAGTATAAGAGTAATCTCAAAGGGGGGAGGGCTTGCTTCTTAAGAAATGGAATGAGAGCTACTAGCTGGTGTTTTGAAGGGTGAATAGAGCAATGGATTTCATACCACACATCAGAATAAAATCCAGCTAATTTAATAGACACAAAAAGAAACAAAAGGATTTGGAAATAATACAAGGGCATGTTTTATAACATTGGGAAGGGCTGCATAGGCAAGACCCTGAATTTAAGGACTTTATTCATTTGTTCCCTCTCAGAAGGTCAGATTTTAATGGGTGCAGAATCCAGTGACCCCAAGATGAGCCATCTGAAGAATATTCTCCAAGTAGGAAAGTTGACCAGTGCATTTCATGCACTTAGTATTACCCTCTTCAAAGCTGCCTAATGCAACAAACCTTAGCTATATATAAATCAGCATGGAAGGTTCGTTGCCTTTCCGTGGAGTTTGGGAGCTGGTACCCAATTCATGTCATACTGTTAGCATAGGCAACTAGGAGTTAACAAAAGAGAAGGGAACCCGGCTGGCATAGCTCAGTGGTTGAGCATTCACCTATGAACCAGGGGGTCATGGTTTGATTCCCGGTCAGGGCACATGCCGGGGAATGGGTTCTATCCCCAGTGTGGGGCGTGCAGGAGGCAGCTGATCAATGATTCTCTCTCATCATTGGTTTCTGTATCTCCCCCCCCCCCCTGAAATCAATAAAAAGTATCTTAAAAAGGAGGAGGGAGCTAGACTGGCTGAGCCTAATGACGTCTGGAAGTTACAGCTTCAGACACACCAAGGGGAAGCCGCATCCTCTGCCAAAGGGGACATAATCCCTGGAAGATCCACCTCCCAGGGGACAGCCCTCCATTAGCCGGGAGCCAGGGAGGGCGAGGGAGGGGAGTCCTTTGCCTGGCACATGCGCAACAGGAGCCCAGATGGCCACCATAAAGGGAAGGTATCTAGCCTGAGGAAAGGATCAGATTGGATGAGGGCATGAAACCCCAGAAGATCTAGGAAAGAGATCGGATGGGGAAGGACCAGCACAAGCCCGGGAAGCATTAGGAAAGAGATTGGTTAGTTTGAAAGGAAGCCGGCTCTTTCCCAAGCCTAACAGTGTGCATTTGCTCATTTGTTGGCCTATTTGCGCATGTTCTCCCTGTAGTAGCCCTAGCAGCCGTGGGGCTCCACGCACAGGTCATTGCAGCTGTGCACGTGGGCAGCCGCACAGGCCCAAGCTTGGGCCTCTGTATGGCCACACAGCCCCAGCCGGAGCGCAGTAGCAACAGACACGAAGCTCACCAGGTGGGAACAGAGACAGCTGGACTGAGCGCTGGCACGGACTAGACTCAACTCCAGCCGCGTCGGATGCCCTCCCGATGCTGGGTCATGGCACACCTCTCTGACCTGGCTCTTCTGGGCTTGGTGAAGACAGGCTGGCCTTCCACAGCAGGATGGAGGAGACATGGGCCCGAGACGGGCCTTTATTTTCATGTCAATAAGTCTTACCACTGCACCCTCCCAGGCAGGGCTCCCAAAAATGCTTTTCTTGTGACTCCGTGAAGAGCCCCATTTCCACCGCCAAGGCTTCTAAGGGAAGGGAAGTTTATAGAAAATCCAGTTTTACGCTTCTGTTCTAAGGGAAGGGAAGTTTATAGAAAATCCAGTTTTATCACCTGGAAAAGAGTTTTCATCTTCAGGAGGAAACCCAAGCTTTTGGTACCCAGTCTCTCCCACCGCCTTTTCCTTCCACAGAATTTCCCTAAATCCCATCACACTGCCCAATAAAACGGGTGGGATACACGGCCAGCTGGCCGGGCCCAGGCATCTTCCTGATGCCCCAGCACCCACTGCCTCAGCCTGTGAAGTGGGAAGCAATGTTCTCTCCACCGTTACAAATGGAAGACGGCGGATCAGGACACAGTGGTTCCCCGACCTGGTCCCACAGCCCGTTCTGGCAGAACAGTGCTGCACCTGATAGAGATCATTGCTGCAAAGCCAGTGTTCTTTCCACTCCTGCGCCCACTTCTCACACACACACACACCCCCCCCCCCCCCCCCCCCCCGCCCCCCGGCTGAAGGCGTCCAGTGGACGAGAGCTCAGCCTTGTGGTAAGAATTCCTTACCTGCTGAACCACCACAAACAAGGCTGTCCTCAAAGGCTGATGGGACTTGTTCAGGGTTCCAAACCCAGGCCCAGGCCCAGGGAAACCTGGTGCTTCTGGTGCTTGCTTTCCTCCACCACTCTCCGGGAGCAGAAGAGCAAGGACTGCACCGTTCACGCCCATCCTCGCAGCCCAGCCAGCAGCCCAGCCAGCAGACCCGCTCCAGGGCAGGGGTCCTGCCCGCCACTCTGGGTCTCTACCCTCCCAGTGTCCTTTGGGAATCACTTGGCCTCCCCAACTCACCCAGCGACCCACACAGACCTCGCCCCAGACACCACAGAAGGAGAAAGAAGCTGATGACACAACACGGCAAATGAGAGGCTGAGGACCCAAGAAAAGAGCCAGTGCAGCTAAAACCACAAAAGAGCTTACATTTGGCAGAGAGATTGGAGAGAGGACTCACATGTCAGATGGGAACAATTAAAAGGAGGAGAAGCCAGGACTCGGGATGGTCACGTGGTGAAAGCACTCTCCGTCCACACCCTCGGACACCAGTGACCCTCCCCGAGGTCCTGCATTTTAATGCACCAGGGCCAGGCCATCTTCTTTGCCAGGAGATAATGAAGCTTTTGCCAAAGGAGCAAAAGTGAAGATCCCTTCCCTTCACCTCTTCTCATCTTGCTGGGAGCATTCCCTCACATCACCACCTGCCCTCCCCCACCGCCCCCAGGGAGCACCTGGCTGACAGATGATCTTCAAAATGTTCACCCTCCCTACCCCCCAGCACAAATAACCAAATGGGTGTTGCTAAACTCACTTCCCCTCGCCTGGATCTAATCTAAGCTGTGTTCCAAATAGAATAGCTACCCCTACAAATTAAGGGGCTCCACTCACTTTCAAAATGGTTTTCTCCTTGGGGGCAGGGGTTCCTGGGACACCTTTCTTTAAAATAAGTCTTACATAGAACCCCACGCATGCAGCAGGCGAGAGGGTAGTGTGTAGGCGAACAGGTAATCACTTCCCGGAAGCATTATTTGATGGGTGCTGCCTACCTGGCTGCCTGGCCCCTTTCTCCCGCAGGGAGGGAGGGACCACATCCTCAGTTGGAGTGGCTTCTATCACCTGCGGACGCTTTCTCCGTATAATAGTATAATAATGACTCGGGTTTGCTGAGCTGTTCTGAATGCGGTGGGGTAGTAAATGTTGGCCTCCAAGTGCTTTGACATGCCTTTCCTCTAGAGAAGGGGACTATGCCCATCATCTTGAATCTGGGCTCTGGGGCCGCCTGGTTAATAGGCTAGAGCAGAAGTGACGCTGTGAGCTTGCATGAGGAGCCTAGGACAGTGATGGCGAACCTTTTGAGCTCGGCTTGTCAGCATTTTGAAAAACCCTAACTTAACTCTGGTGCCGTGTCACATATAGAAATTTTTTGATATTTGCAACCATAGTAAAACAAAGATTTACATTTTTTATATTTATTGTATATATTTAAATGCCATTTAACAAAGAAAAATCAACCAAAAGAATGAGTTCGCGTGTCACCTCTGACACGCGTGTCATAGGTTCACCCTCACTGGCCTAGGACGTGCTCGGCTTCTATTTTGTCTTCAAGGGACACTCTTGGAACCCAGCCACCATGCTGTGAGGAAGCCCAAGTGGCCTGTGGAGAGGCCCACATGGAGAGGAACCGCCAGCAGCACCACCTCGCCAGCCATGTGGGCACACCATCTCGGAAGTGGGATCCTCCAGCCCCAGCTGAGCCGTCTGGAGCAGAGGCGGGCTGTTCCCACTGAGCCGGGCCCACACTGCAGTCGGGAGTGAAATGAAGGATTTTTGCTGCTTTAAGATTGGAAGATGACTTGTTCCTCAATAATCGATTGCATAATTTCATTTATATTATAATGATATTCACATGTAGATTATATGATGCACTTATAGTAAATATACATTATTGAAGATATACAAATGGAAATTGTATGCACAGAAACACAAGCACATGCTTTCAGTTAGTCCTTGCAATCACTCTGAGGGACTCTCTTTCATAGACACAACCGAGGTGCAGAGAGGGGACCCAACCTGCCCCTGGTGCCCCCACCGGCTGGCAGTGAAGCTGAGACGCAAATTGTAGCAGATCATAGACTAAGCCAGCGTGGCCCCTGTGCCGTCCTTCACTGCCGATCGTCTTCACTTTGCAGAAAGGGGCAGAAAAGCCGGGGCACTTCCAGAGTCGAGTGCAGGCGTGGGCGATTTCCCAGGGCGCCCGAATGCCAGGGGCTCTGCCTGGAGCCCAGGTCGCTCTCCCAGGCCCGCAGGAGCGTCTCCTGGCGGTGGGCAGCGGTTTGTCCACTCTGCGTCCTGTCTACCCCGCCCCCTTCAATTCGGATCTGCACCTCTCTAAAGAGCTACCCCTGATGGCAGCCCACGGTGTGACGGGCACTGGGCCAGCCCTGCCTCCTCTGTGGATGAGGAAACTGAGGCACCGAGTGTGGTGGTGGCTTGTTCCCTGGAGCACGGCAGAGCTCCGCTGGTCCCCACCCCACCCTCCCCCCTGAGTTCTGATCACTTTGCCAGTCCTTGTCCTCGTGCTCGGTTTTCACCTGAGACCGCCTGGGCGAGCTTTCAAACCAGCAGAGACTTCTAAAAAGTGGAACCCACACTCCTGCGCCTCTGACAGGGCAGGGTTTCTCCCTGTGAATGACCCTCTTATTTTCAACGTCCATAAATCACAAAGGTTAAAATGGGAGCTGACATGTGACCATGTAATGTGGACATTTTACACTTTGGATATTTGGAAGCAATAAACTCAGGCCCTGAAGCGCTGAGTTGTGAGCAAACTAAACATCCCTCCCTGTCTCAAAGGGTGGGTGGATTGACTCATTTAACCCCACGAAGGGTGAGAAGGATGTGGCTCAGAGAGGTTAGATGACTTGTTAAGGTCACACAGCAGAGCTGGCCTTCGCCCCAGGGTCTCCCCAATCAGCAAGGGACAAGTCTGTCCTCTGGAGAAACTCTGATGGCTCATCTCTTGACCACCAACAGGGCCTCGGGGGTCA